CTTTGTTACACTCCCTTGCAGTCCCCTCCCTGATCCCTGACCCCTGACCCCTGGCCCCAGCTAGTCCAGATCAAAGCATGAACAGTGTTTCCAGTGGAATCTTCCCGACCCCACCCTCATCATCAGGCCTGACTAATTACATTTGCTGACTAGTCCCACTTCCGGTTTCCTCAGCTCCTGACCCCTCAGACCAGTTAACCTTCCCAGAATATCACTGTCGTCTTGCCCCTCTTGCTCAGGTCTTCCCAAAAACTACGGAACGAACTTTGCAAACGTGGGTCTGGGGTGTGAAGCGATTGTACGCCCTTTGTTTGCTGCTGGTGCTCTGCCAGGCCAATCTGTCTGCTATCTCTGATTTCAATACCTTTGTCTCAGACACTCAATTCGCCTTCCGGTTGCTAATTGGACCTCACTCTATTTTATCTCTAAATCCCGCTGTTCTTCGCCAAGAGGCCCGCCCTCCTCTGAGCCCAGCTCTCTGGACTCACATACCCAACAGGCCATCCCTTTCTCCCCTGCACCGCTGGGTCCTTGGGCAGGACTCTGTCCCTATGTGTCCGCAGCCTCTGTGTTGTGCCAAGATTCTGTAATCCCCAAGGACCACCAGGGAGCCGAGTCAGATGCAATAAACAAAAGAGCTTCTTCCATGCTAGCATCGGCTCTGTCCCACTCATGCCAACAGCATGGCGGACGAGAGCCCAAACTTCGACAAGTCAAGGGGCTTTATACGGGTGGTGATGTCACTGCTTTGGCTGACCCAGATTGGTTGGGTGAGGGCTGGGATCCAGTTGGAGGATAGCTCCACCCTGCCCCACAGCACAAAATGGAGCCGTGCCCTCTCATCTGCTCACATTCCTTGCAATAGCAGATTTTTCTAGACATTAAATTGGTTCATTGGAAACTACTAGCTCAAGCCTTGTGCCTCTCTTCACATTAAACATGTGGCAATAACCCTCACGAGCATCTATTATCCCCAGATACAGGGTGAGTTCTAAGGACACTGAGGGCGAGAGACAGTCTATTCTCTCAGGCCCCTTCCAAGGGCGGTTTTCGGGTGACTTAGGGAATGGCCACATACCTTTGGCCTGCCCAAGCAGGCCAACAGTAGTTTCAGAAATCAAATCTATTTTAAGAAATTTGTATTCTCTGAATGCAGACTGGTGCAGCCACTGTGGAGAACAGTATGGTGTTTGCTCAAAAAATTAAAAATGGAACTCCCATTGGACCCAGTGATCCCACTTCTAGGAATATCTCCCAAGAAACCAGAAACACCAATCAGGAAGAATATATGCACCCCACTGTTCATAGCAGCACAATTTACAATAGCTAAAATTTGGAAACAGCCTAAGTGCCCATCAGCAGATGAGTGAATTAGAAAACTGTGGTACATCTACACAATGGAATACTAGCTGCTGTAAAAAAAAAAAAAAAAAAAAAAAAGAAAGAAAGAATTTTCATCATTTGCAACAGCATGGATGGACCTGGAGAGCCATATATTAATTGAAATAAGCCAGTCAGAGAAAGATAAATATCACATAATCTCACTCATTTGTGGAATATAATGAACAACATAAACTGATGAACAAAAATAATAGAACCAGAGTCAAAGAAGCATCGAACAGACTGTCCAACCTATGAGGGAAGAAGATGCAGAAATAGATTTAAAGCTGGGAGGGAGCTGGGTGGGCCGCCATTCTCTCTGAATGGAGAGGCCGGATGATGACCTGACCCCTCCCAGCGCATTTATTTTATACTCCCCATAACAGAAAGTTAACACCAATTTATTTGCATTCTTAAGTAGGCTCTAGCATGCTTGGATTTACATATCTAGTCCTGCCCCTGCCTGGGCTGATAGGAAGATGATGCTGATTACACTCTCCGCCATCTTGGAGAAATGTGTATCCTAGACTTGGCTCTGCCAATCGTCTCAGTCTCAGCTGGCCACAATGAAAAGAAATGCCCATGTGCCTTCCCAGGGGGCCCTCCACGCTCGCAGTGTCCGATTTGGATTTGGATGTCAAGTAAGACCATTGGATGTCAACAAAAGATCAGTGTAAGATAATGAACTTAAAAAAACCTGTCTCCCTTATACTGTGGTCATGAAGGCTGCTTCGGCGATTGGAATTTGGAGAGTTGGAAACACTGACACTGGATCTGTTCCCTGGACCGAGCCTCCTGCCAGGGTGCCGGGGAAACGCTTGATTCCAATGGGTCCGTCTGGCGACGCCGGGGAGGAAGGCCGTAGCCACCTAATGCGACAGGACTGCCAAGGCCTACGGGAAGCGAGAGCTCATTATGTCTCCTGATGACTTCCTCGTCCTTTGTCACCGTTATGTGCTGTTTGGGTGGTGGTAGCTTTTCTTTTCTGAACAGGACACGTGGAAGAACCAAATCACTGGAGTCAAGAGAGGGACATTTTAGGGGAAATAGAGAGACGGCTCAGTGGGCGGAGAATGGGGACTGTGAGGGGGGGGACGTCACTGTCTAAAGGGTGAATGTATTCATTGCTCACAGGAGGATTTGGATAAGGAGCCACTTTCCTGCCTCTTCTGTTTCTCATTAAGTCATTATGGAGCTAGGCTGTCTCAGGCACGTGTCAAACATGGCACAGCCCCAGGAGGCCGAGGGGTGAGCGCTGGGTCACGCGTGGGAAGTGTGGCACTCACATGACAGATTTCCCTTATCAGAGCCAAGGCCATCAAATCAAATTTTAATTTAATAAGATCGTATTTAGAAAATGAAAATAAAGTAGCCAGACCCAGCAAATAAGTACAGTGAACGAATCCAGAGAAATCGACACTCTGTGTCCCTTAGACCTTCCGTTTCACAGAGGCCGGCGTTCCGGCTTATTCGTGTAATCTGGAGCACACCCGTGTGGGGAGATACTGGCACCCCCATTTCCTGAATAAACCTGAGACTCAGAGGCTGCTGACTGCCAGGGTCACCCCACAGAGGCCAAGGCAGAGTCCCAGTGGCATGGGGGACTCCCCAGCTCATGCCTCTCCAGCTCTCCAGCTGGTGTCCGGGAGCAGGGCTGCCTCTGGTGAAGGGCCCTCTGGCCTCTGACCTCAGAGAAGACCCCAGATCTGTATCTATTTGATGAGCCCTTGCTGAGATCCAGGTCCTACGGAAAGCAGGAAGGGCCACGCTGAGTGGGGGAGGAAAGGGGTCTATAATCAAGATCAGTTCATAAAGCAGTTTCTTCCCGGACTCAACGGTCGCAGTCACCCTGTGAGATAAACAAACGAGGCGTGTCTCGCTCTACGTTGTGGGCAGGGAAACAGCCTCGGGAAGGCTAACCCCAAGGCCTTTGGAGAAATTTTCATTTCTCTGGGAATCTTATGAATCTTTATGAAAGATGGATGGAGCAGCACATAAGTCCTAAGACCACAATCCCTTGGGCCTTGAAGGCAAGGCTGTGTCTGTAGGTGTGCACACCTCTGACTCCCGGGAAGCAGCCTCCGCGGGGTCCCCGGTCCTGCTGTGTCAAGGGAACGAGGCCTTGCCGGCAGGACTGCTGGGAGGCTGAGTGGGTGGCGACGGCCTGGCCCCGAGGGGCGCGTCCCAGGCCGCAGGAACGTGAGTGGCAGCCCTGGGTTCACAGGGCACGACCCAGGCTGCTGATAGCGGCCACGGTGTGAGGCAGACTCTGAGGCGGCGGCAGAGAGGAAGCTGTAACCACCTCCAGAAACCATCCTCCTGGCCCTGCTGCCATGAGAGCACAGCGCTGGCCGCGGGCAGGGCCTGTTTGCAGCTGGTCTTCGCCAGGGCCCTGTTCCCTCTGAGAGCTCCGCCCGGGACAGGGTGCCACCTGCTCAGGTCCTCACACGCCCCAGAGAGAGTGTTTGCTGCTGAGTCTGCAGCACTGGGAGCCTCCCTGGCCTATTTGAACATTTACTGAGTGTCCAGGAATGAATCAGACCCTCCCGGGGTATGGCAAGGTCTCTGCCTTCAAGGGTGGAAGGGAGCTTTACTGGGGAGAAAACACTTGTGTGACAATGTTCAAAATAACAAACGAGGTAACACTGGGGCGGGGGAAGAGCTGTGTCTAAGGACAGAACTGCATGTGGCAGGCCGTCCTCGCGGTAGGAGGCAAGGGGAGGTTGCCATGGGCGAGCTGGTGAGGACTAGCTAGGAAAGTGGTGAGGTGATGGGGGAGGTGGGGCCTGAGGTGAACCATGGGGAACTGGTGGAATCCAGGGAGATGGATGAGAGAACTGGGGGCAGGGAAAGGGGAGCATTTTGGCAGGAGGCCCGGAATCTCTTTCTCCCGGTTTCAACTTTTCTGCAGAACCACAGGGACAGAGGCTTTACCCGCTATGCAGGGGTTATACAAAACACGGAATTCAAGAAATCTGGTGGGTGTGACAAAAAGAGACAGCGAAACCCAAATCTGAGGGAAGTGTGGGTCTGGCGCCTTTCTTTCTCCTCCCCAGGGTTTGGTGCTCATGAGATGTGTGAGTGGAGTTGGCGGGGGGAGGGGGGGGGGAGCAGGGGAAGGCAGACAGCATGGCCTGCGGGTGTAGAAGGTGGGACCCAGTGCAGACAGGTCCGGTCCTGTTGGGAGCAGAACCCCATGGTTTCGCTGGCGTTGGAAGCAAGGAGGACATCAGCTGAAGGGCCTCTCCATGAGAATGTACACACCCCCACCCCTGCGTGCTGACGAGTACCCCCGACCCACTGTGTTTGAAGGTGTCATCAGGTGCAGCTCTGAGTTGAAACCGGAAACAAGAGTCAAGGAAGAGCCTGAGCCAGCGTCTTTATGTCCCATAGCAGCCCTCTCCCCGGGGTCTCGTTCCTCCAGCGGGAGAAGCACATACTGAGCTACACAGACACAGCGCGGGCGGGTGGGGGAGGGGACGGGGGCCGAAGAAGCTGCTGGCCCTGGAGGAACTTTCTGGATGTCCTGAGCGAGACACACGCCATCCCAACGGCGGAGGGCTGGAAGGACCCAGCGGTGCGCTGGGATCTTGAGAGAGCCTTCTGTCCCGGAGCGTGATTCAGTACGGGTCATCCATGCTGCATGGAAAACAAGGGGACGCGAGTTAAAGGGAGGGGCTTAACACTGTGGAAACTAAAATGTTAGGGAAGGTAACTATTCCCGAGAGGAGAGGAAAGTAGAGAAAATATGACCAGTGAATTGGACGAAATGCCAGACAGGCCTGAGGCGAAGACCGAAGGCCAGAGAAGCCTCAGGCAGCGCTTCTCACGCCTTCAGCTGCTTCCCACCAGGCCCAGCGGGTGTGGTGGGGACAGGGACTCTGCATCTCTAACAAATCCCAGAGGATGCCGCTGGTCCCCAGCCCGCACTGAGCAGCGTCCAAGGCCAGGCTCTGTCTTCCTCTCAGTGAGCACATGGGGCGCTGGAGACAGACCCTGAGCAGCGGTGAGTCAAGACAGTAGAAGCAGACATGCGCCAAAGGAGAGAGAAATCAGAGAACATCGAAGCTCATGCACGCTATGGGGTGGGCCTCCCGGGCCTGACCCCGGTGGACGATGATGGAAGGAGGTGGAGACACGTGAACGGAATGATCCCTGGTGTGTGTGAAGCAGGGTCTCGTTCTTGGGAAGGACGGGGATAGCCAAACGCCGTCTGCTTTCATTGCCCGTCTCCCGGGGAGCACCAGCCTGAGCTGTTCTCACGGCGAACAGCCCTGGGAAACCACAATTCAGCAGTTGCCCACGTGCCGCCAACACAGACTGAAAGGCTTCTGAAAACAGACTCTCACACCGGCCCCCCTCTGAGGTTGGCATCGTATCTTCCTGTGCATCTCGGGCAGAGCTCTTACCCGGGCAGAATTTAGACACTAGAAACCAAGTGAGGTGATAAACAGAACCCGTTTGCAGAAGAATCAAAATAAACCGGCAAGCATCGAAACCGCAGATGCCCGAGGAGCCGTCATTCACCAGCCAGCACCAGCCAGCGGCGAGTAGGACTAAGCACAAAGAGCGTTTAAAAAAAAAAACACACACAAAAAAACAGAGACAGGTGTTTGCTGTGATTGTGTTCGGTCACCTTCGGCTTGTTTTAGGAACACGCCCTGCTCCTCCCACCCCACCCTTCCTCAGTGCCAGCACTCCCCGGGCTCCGCGTGGGGGAATCACACCACCGGGACTTACCCCTCTGACCTGGGGCCAAGAGTCCTGAGTTCTACAGGCATGAACGCTAAGAGCATGATCTTTGGATCTAGCGGGGCACAGGTCTCACGGGGCATTCTGTGATCACCAAACCCCTGCAGCGAAGGAGGCTTTTGACCAATACAGAACTCCCTGGCCACTGCCATGTCGGGGTTGTAGTTTTCTTTTTCTTTAAAACACTTTTCTGTCTTAGCTCCCTCACCAGGCAGTCTCCCTGAGGTCAGGGGTAAGGGTGGACTCCGCTTTTCCCACCCAGCCTAGCACTGTCCCTCACCAAGGTGCTCAGAAAGACAGCTGTGGATTGGTTCAGGTGGAAGTTAGCAAACCATTCAACCTGATGTGGCAGTTAGCAAAAAAGGGTAATGAGCTTACGGCTGGCATCCCTCCTGCCTTGGGGCAGGGGTCGGCAAACTCATGAGTCACCAGAGCCAAATAGCAACAGGTGTTTGAAAACAACCCCGGAGCGCCACCTCCAACAGGATTGACATTTCTTTTGAGAGTCAAATTTTTTAAACTTAAACCTCTTCTAACACCACTTCTTCAAGACTCGCCCAGTGGTATTTTGTGCAAGAACCACACTCAAGGGGCCAAAGAGCCGCATGTGGCTTGTAAGCTACAGTTTGCCGACCATGGGCCTAGGACATCTAAACCGTTGAACTGATCCATCAAGTGGTGACAAAAATACAGATGGTTCCTGCAGCCAGAAGCCAGTTCTGGGTGGATTGTGCCAGGAAGACTTTTACTCGGTGGGTGTGAGCATCTTGTGGGTTTCCTGCCTGCAGAGCCGGGAGGCACGCTCTGGGAAGGGCCTAGGACCCACCCACACTGACCAGTGGAAGGTAAGGCGATAACATAGAATAAAAGGACCTCCACAGACCCTCTGTCCCCACGCAGGTACCCCAGCACTCAGCTCCTTCCAGCCAAGCTTCTCAAGAGAGATGGCTGGCATGGTCTGCCCTTTTTCTCATCCCCACTGAGTCCTCAAGCCCTGGCCACTGGACTTCTGTCCTGACCTCCACACTGAAGATAGTTCCCACCAGGTCCCGGTCACATCCAGGGGAAATGTACTGGTTCTCTTGGCAGCATGTGAAACAGTTTCATTTCTCCGTTTCCTAAGCGTTCCCAACCCTGTACTCCCTCCCTCCCCTCCTTCCCCCCATTTCCTTCTCTCTCCCTGGCCACCCCTACCCACTCTCCTTTTCCCAGCTGCCTTGCTCATTGCTGATGTTCCTCGGGCTGTCCTGTCCTCCCTCCCACCTCCCTCCTCCCCACACTGCGGCCTGGGCGATGGCACCTGGTCCTCCGATGGCAGTTACCTCCTGTGATGTGAGAACCCCCGAGTCCATGTCTGCCCCACGGCAGCCTCTGGGCTGCAGACAGAGCCAACGGACCACGCGTGAGCCACTGGCACCAAACAACGTGCACAAAACAACCCCGGAGCGCCACCTCCAAACTCTCTCTCGGTTAGTTTTATTGGTTGTTGATGCTTTCCCCTCCCAGGGAATAGCACAGTGGAGTACGGATAGCAGCCGCCTATCAGTTTCCCAGTCAGAACCACGGCAACTTCTCTGATTCTCCTCTGTTTTCTCTGTTATTCGCTGAGGAAGGACCACAGGTGACTGATTCTACCTCCTCTGACCTCATGAGCGCATCCTCGCTGCTATGGTTCTAGACAGTTTTAACCTCATCATTTCAAGTTCCTCCCAAGCAGTTCTTTGCCTCCAAGCTCGCCGATTCCCATGTTTGCTTACTTTTGTGTGGGGTGACCCTCACAGATCCGGTGCAGAGATCCCCGAGATACACATCTCAGCACGGGGGAGGGTGCTGGGAGGGGGGGACCCCCATCTGCTCAGCCCCATGGCGATGCCCCAAGGGCCTCAGGACAGAGCCCACTCTCACTGTGGCACGTGAGTCCCTCTGTGATCTGGCCCCTGTCACCTCACGGCTCCCCACTTTCTCTTTCGAACCCTGCGCACAGCCCGCGGAACTTCTCAGTGACAATTTGTGGTTTGCAGGATGGCTGTCTGAACAAGCACCCCTCCGTGGGGACCATCTTGTTTCATTTCCAGCCTCTAGCTTGGGTACTTCGAATGGCACCAAACTCTCATCTTCACGGTTCTTTTCACGGACACTCTCTTTCCTAACATCCCAGAGCAAGTCACGAAGGCTCTCGAGCAGATCAATGTTTTGCCACCTTCATTTCTGCCAGACGGGGCCATGCATTGCCACCTGCTTGCATCTCTCCTAGGTGTGTGTTTCTCCAGGTAAGAAATCTGAGGTTCAGGACCAAACTAAAAAACTACCTTTTTAAGGAAGCTGCAGATAGAGTCTGTGCTCCCAACTCTCCCGCCTTTCCGAAGGCAGTGCTTGAAAGAGCTGCAGTCACCTGCCCCCTGTGCTGGGCATTGAGGACCTGGGGTCCAGGGTGATACCTGCTTCTTAAAGCCTGGCATTCAACAGTTTCTCCATCAATATTTGCTGAATTAGATGCTTCCTGATACCGTATTTAGTACCTTATTTGTCCTCACCTTCAGCCAGGACAAGACAAAGTATGTCACAGTGCTTCCAATCCTCACAAAATATTCAGAGCAATTGGAAAGCGCCCCCTTTCCATACCAGCCTTTTCCTAATGGGGCGTTACTCATCCATTCATTCATTCTGCTCCACTCACCCTAAAAAGACCACTACTTTCAGGGAGGCTGATGGATGGATCGATTTATCTGGAAAGGTCATTGGAATGAGGCCCCGTGTAAGTAGCTCCTGGAGTCAGTGTGTTTCACTATAGCAGGAGGGTCTTAGGAAGGCAGAGAATAGATCAACAGATGTAGAAACTGCTCGCTGATAACACTTACCTTCTCTGAGACTTTTTGCCTAAAAATAGAAGAAATAGAAAAATGGCATCAGCAAAAGTAGACAATTTCAACGTCTTAAGACAAGCGTAAACAGAAATCCCCACCCTCGGCACCATCTTTTGAAGCATAGTATGCGTTTGCCGAGTAGAGCGTCTGAGGTCGGAGGTCCCGGGCTAAGGCTCTCGTTCAAACAGCGGGCGGTCGGTCCTCGGTTGGACCAGGTTCCACTCCGCGGTCCATAAAGACAAGTGCATCCTGACCTCCTGGTAACCAGGCCCCATACTCCCCTTTCACAGGCTTCCGCTTCCCCACCTGCCCTCCCACCCCCTCGGGTCCTTCCCTGGGAGACCTGACTGCTGGGACCGGGAGAACGCGTGTCTCACACCATCTTCTCTGGGGGGACGCACAGGAGGAGGCGCACTCAGGCCAGGCGGTAGGAGTGACACCCCGGTCTGAGGAACCGGCGTGTTGTCATCTAAAACAGCGACGCTCAGGGGTTCGGTTTCCTCCTCTGTCAGGCTGCCAGGACCTCAGAGCCCGACCCGAGAGCCTCGCTGATCAAGCCTACAGGACTTTGTGACACACATGTTTCTGTGTTCTACCCTAACCCTGGGCTCCAACCTATTTTAATATATATATATATATATATATATATATATATATATATATATATATATTTATATATTATTGAATTTTTTTTACAGAGAGGAAGAGAGAGGGATAGAGTTAGAAACACCGATGAAAGATAATCAACCATCAGCTGCCTCCTGCACCCCCACCCCACTGGGGATGTGCCCGCAGCCAAGGTACATGCCCTTGACTGGAATCGAACCTAAGACCTTTCAGGTCGCAGGCCGACACTCTATCCATTGAGCCAGACTGGTTTAGGCACCAACCTATTTCTGTACAGTACATTTTAGCCTTTTTTTTCTTCCTTTTTAACTAATTTTAACTTGCTCTGTTGAACGTGTTTTGTAAGTGATCTGACATATTCTCTTTAAAAAGCAGCGGATAAATACGTAGATAAATGAACCAACTGTAGAGCTGAGCTGCAGAGGGAATAAAAGCAAATACAAGCTTTCTGAGTAGCCCTAGCTGGTTTGGCTTGGTGGATAGAGCATCCGCCTGAGGACTGAAGGGTCCCAGGTTTGATTCCAGTCAAGGGCACATACCCTGTTGCAGGCTCGATCCTAAGTAGGGGACATGCAGGAGAAAGGCAATCACTGATTCTCTCTCATCATTGATGTTCCTATCTCTCTCCCTCTCCCTTCCTCTCTGGAAGGCAGTGTATTTCAGGGGCGACCCCCTGGATCTCTCGCGTCATTCAGTTGCCGAGCAAGCCCTGGTGGCCACCAGTGGCGTGTCCCTGAACAGCCACGTATCCTCTCTAAGCCTCCACTTCTCCTGGGAACGGGGCCTGAACTTCTATCTTCCTCCTGGAGCTGATTTTAAAACTGTACTCAAAGTACTTAGGGCCGAGACTAAAGCTTAGATAGTATTCATTTACTATTTTACACCTTTAAATTATCAGAAGTTAACATTTTAACGTTTCTCCCCAAATTCAGCCACTGATGTCATGGGCCAAACACACCTGCCCGGAGGGAGTTAGATCTAAACTCATTTCAAGTTTCTGTTTCTTTATCTCCATGTATTTTTCTTCTAGGAGCAATGAGACATATAGTAATACACAAGCAAGAATCAGTTCCTGCTGAGAGTTTTTTTTTTTCTGAAGAAAAGGGAACTAGGGCCTGTGCTCAGCCCCGTGCCCTGGTGCCCTGGTGCCCTGGTGCCCTGTCCCAGTCTTGTGGTCCCGGTGGAAGGGTCTTCCATCCCCAGGGAAAACAGAGCCTTCTTATCCCAGAGATCAGGGGCACGTCCAGATGGGAGTCTGGTTCTGGCCCTGCTGACAATCAGGGACTTTAGAGATTTGGCCTAAAACATGATGGCCTCTGCCCAGACAATATTGCTCAGTGGTTGAGCTTTGGCCCATGAACCAAGAGGTCACAGTTCGATTCCTGGTCAGGGCACATGCCCAGGTTTCAGGCTTGATTCCCAGAGGGATTGCATGCAGGAGGCAACTGATCAATGATTTTCTCTCATCATTGATGTTTCACTCTCTCTTCCTCTCCATCTCTCTTCCTCTCTGAAATCAATATAAACACATTTCAAATTTTTAAAAAAACCACAACATTATTGCCTCATTTCCCCATTTACCAAGCAGGGCCAAGGATACTAGCTAGTCAGCTGGGGGAAAGGTTTCTAGACACACCCATGCACAGGGGCATGTTTCTGGGCCACTGATTGCTCACTCAGGAGAAAGGGGCTGAGGTCTGGAGTGCGGGCAAGGGTCAGAGTGCGGGTTCCTCAGATCCCCGGATTCTGGCCGTTTCATTTGCTACTATTCTGTGAAGATTCACCCACTCCCCTTTCCAGCTTTCTCAGCACCAAAGCATATAAAGTTCTCAGTGTGATGAGCACTGCATCTATCCAGATATGTTGCTTTTCACTTTTATTCTTGTAAATGCCTCCGCTACCTTGCAGGAAAATATATATATTCTTCGTGTTTCAACGAATCTACAACTAACATTTTTGGAAGCAAAAGTGACTTGAAGTTGGGGCTGCCAGAAGAAGTTTCAAAAGTGAAGACTGTTTGAATGTTTTGTTCGAGAAACATGACCTTCCTACAGCCCGTGATCTCCGGGCTCCGCTCGCTGCTGGCATAACTGTAACAGGCGAACTGCCCGTTATCTGTTTCCTGTTTGCCCCACACCCATTCCCACAGTGGGGCACGCAGTTCTCAGGTTATCGGTTTGAGATCTTGTACAGAAATGACTCCAAGGTAAAGAATGTCAAAACAGCCCCACTGCCTTTTCTCACCCCTGCTCATAAATCAGCTCCAGCCGGCCCCTCCCCCTCACTGAACCCCTGTGACTCCAATCTTGTCCTTGTGATTCTACTGGCATTTATGAAAAGGTTTTAGAATTTGGGAATAAGTATCCTCCTTTAGCTGGTGACTCGCAGCCCCAGAGCCTTCAACAGTTACTCAGCTATCCCTTACCCATGATGCTCTACCCCCTCTGTCCGGCCACCGCCACCCAACGTAGGAGGAAAGAGGGGACGCTGGGCCAGGCTTTGAAGTCTCCGTGGACATGACCATCGGCATTGGGAGGGAAATCCCATTCCTGTTCTGCCTTTTACTTACATACTTAGTGCTGTCCTATAAGTTGATGGGACCCGATGTTACCAAATGTCTAAGAGCAGAAGCAGAGGTACTAACTCCTCATGCTCTCAGGTTGCAGCTACTGGGGTCTTCCCACATCCTCGCCCTCCCCCGACCCCACCAAACCCCACCCCGTCTTGCTGGGTTGGTTGGTTAGAACAGGAATCAGGTTCCCTTGTTCTTACATTTAGGATGAAAGAGCCGATCACGGTGAAGACTATTGAGAAAGAGTAGCTACTATTCCTGCAGTTGCCAGTGAGGACGGGTGGGTGAGGGGTGCAGCCCTGACGTACCACATTCACCGCACAGAATACGTGCTGATTAATATGGCGGAAGTGGGAGTAAAACGGCAACAGCACACAGCTGCTTAGCAGTTGTTTTGAGGTCACCAGTGACCCCTGACCCTGAAGCAAGGACTTATTAAAAGCTGCCTACTGTGCATGAGTTTCAGAGTCTTGGACATTTCTGCTGGCTGAGTCCGGCCCATGAAGCAGCCCACACCAGGCTCTGCCTCGGGCTGTGGGTCTGTAACTGGCAGGCCAGCCACGTTAGGGTTTGGGTAAATGTGGGCAGGTGGGTGAGGGATGCTGCTCCCCCCTGGTGGGCAGACGCTGGCTGCTCAAGCAGCCCTCCTTGCTCCCTCTTTTCCTCCAACCCAGAGTGGAGGGGAAGCAGGAGAGCATGGCTCATTGCTGGTGATCAGGCACAGGGGAGGAGCCTGGGGTGAATCCTGGGACGTGTGATTCCTCAGGTCAGAAGCCAGGCAGGTGTGCGGCTCTTGTGAGGTAGGGATTCAGGGGCAGTGCCAGGGAAATATTCCTGGGCACTAGATCCCCTGCCCAGAGGACCCGCAAGGCCCATTTGTCCGTTATCACCCAAGCGAGGTGCCTTGAAGAGAGCAGGACTTTTGTTTGTTTGTTTTAAAGTTTGTTGGATGAAAAAACAAAACAAAAACCAGCCCACGTGTCTTAATGCAGGTGTGTGTGAGGCTGCCTCCCACGTGTCCAGGGCTGAGGTGTGCGGCCTCGCCCCCTAGCCAGCCACAGAAGCTGTTGTACTTAGTTTCCTGTGGGTTTCTATTTTCTTCTCTTTGCAGTTCTATTATTCTCATAGGAAGGTGAACGCACGTACCTTTTTTTAATCGCCTCGCCAGCCAGATGATAAAGGCCAGCCCCAGGAAGGCAGTGACCATGACCGCCAGGGGGATGAACAGGGGGTTGTAGTTGCCTTCCTTGATCATGGAGAAGCTCCTGTCCAATTCTGAAAGAGAATCGGGAGGCACGTCGCTTGAGGCCACAGCATGATCTCCCTAGTGCCATTTCATGAGGTTAGACTTCCCCCTCCCTCCAGCTCCCAACAACTGCCCCTTTGGTGCCATCTGGCATGAGGAACCTGGCATGAGAAGGCCCATGATGAGCCCATGGCAGAGACAAAGACTGGACTGGCTTTCCTAGCCCCACACCTATGCCATCTCAATTCCCAGACTGGTCACTAGTAGAATTTCTGGGAGATGCACCTAAAAATCTTGTCAAGAAGTAGTCATCCTTGTGTTTAGCTCCGTGGCCTTGTTGAATGGTTGAGACACTAATGCAGAGAGGAGCTGAAAGGCCCAACTTGATTGTAGGGAAAATAAAAGCCAGCATTCCGGACCAGTGACTTGTCAGTCGCAAGAGAGCATCAGTGCTTTTACTCTGAAGCAGCTATCTAGGCGTCTGTACTTGGGGTTTACCTGCCGGGGACCTGCATGGACCTGTGAATGATTCACTCTTCCCACTTCCATCACCGATATACAAAGGGATACACCTCCATGTCCTCTTGTAAGTGTGAGCCAAGTTCACTGGGGACCTTTATTGAAAACGTGCCACGTGGGAACATCTGTAATCGGTGGCACCAGTGAAAGGCCCTTCCTTCTGCATGTTGGCACGGGGTCTGACAGCATCCCTATTCTCATGTGACCTTGAGAAACCCTTTCACGGGGCTTCCATCCCCACTCCAACTATATAGTGGAAAGGGGCTCAAGGTCCCAGAGGATCCAAACAGAAGGCACCTATTGGCTGCCTGGAAAGGAAAGGACCCCTAGCCTGATACACAGTCCTCCCCTGAAGACCCTGAGTTCCCGCCCACTCCCTGGCCCACAGAGATCAGCTTCTCGGACAGCTTCCACGGGTCACACCATCAAAAGACTTTCGTCATTGGTGCAAATGGCCCGAGGGGCAGACATGGGTAGCTAGTCTTTCACATGCCAATTTAATGTGCATTTATTTAGCACCGACAGTCAGGTGGAGGGTATTGAGAGATGAGGGAGACATAGCCCTTATACACAGACAGATTTGGATGCTTCGGTTTAATGATAATGGAAATGTACCCCCTGCTTTTGGAATTATGTGGTTATTGGTGTTCTTGGAGGGGCACTTCAATGGACTATCAGAGAAGTGAGCTTGCACTGGAATAGGAGAATGGAAAGGAAATAACTCAGTAGAGACAGTGAGTTTAGATGTTAAGGTCTGAGATAGGAGGAGTTGAGAAATGACTGGAAAAAAGAAATAGCTATCATTAAAGGAAGAGGCAAGAATAGACAAGGGTTATGTAGTAAATTAATATGTATGAATTTGTTTTTAAAGCACATCCATTAAGCAAAATGAAATATAAAAATTTACTATATCTTTCCCGCATCTGCTCCATCTTTAAGGTATTTGGGAAATTGGGACATGGACTCACTCTGGCAGACTGTAGGAGGGCTGGACCACATTCCAGATGATTCACAGACAGTTCTCGTCTTTCCGATGAGCTCAGTTCCTTCTGAGCAGTTGAAGGTGCACGTGGAGTTAAAGCTGAAGTTGCCCAGGGGGTGACGGCAGTCCATGGTCCCCAAATCAGGTGCTGCTAGAGCATCACACCGAATCACTTCAACAAAAAAGAAAAACGTTCTGAGGAGAGGCTTTCTCTTGACCAAAAGATTTAGCCAAAGCTGCCTTACTCAACTGTGGAACCACCCACAGGACTCCAGCCATTCCTAGTCTAGAAATTGCTCCTGATCATGCTTCCAGAATTTACTTTCTTCAGAACGATGGAGAGTGGAGAGGCAGGGGTGAAGCCAGGAGAGCACCGAAGCATTTGGGGTGAAAGGTGGAGAGAGGAGGGAGGATGGGCCCCTCTGGGAGTCACTCCAACTCCGCTGGAAGTGCCTGGACGTGGCCTTGGCCCTTGAGGAATCTTCTCACTGAGTGTAGAGAATGCCCACCCCTCCCCCGGTCCCAAAGTCTGCCCAAGCAATTTTGAGAAACATCCCAATTCTCTGAAGCAAGTTCCTCAACTTCTATAAAATTTAACAGGCTGATCAATTTAATTGTTCCTTCCTTCCTTCCTTCCTTCCTTCCTTCCTTCCTTCCTTCCTTCCTTCCTTCCTTCCTTCCTTTCTTTTCTTTCTCTTTTTCTTTCTCTTTTTCTCTCCTTTCTTTCTTTTCTTTAAATCTCTATTGTTGAAAGTATTACACATGTCCCTTTTTTTTCCTCCATGTGAAATATGGTGGGTGTTTGAACTCTCCTAGCTACCCCCCTCGCCCTAGGCCTTCACCAAGTGCTAAGATTTCAGTAAATGATTCTGGCAGTTCTTTTGAGACTAAACCACTTAAACTAGTGAGTCAGAGGCATCGACGACATAGGAAATGTAACCAAAACCGGCACCCCCAGTCTCCTCCTGCAAGGGGATCATCTCACCAGCTAAAATGAAAACACTAGCCATATTTCACATGGAAAAGGACAAGACACTGTGTTTTTCACAGCAGTTGTTACTCTCCTGAGAGTTCATGGGAGGAGAAAAGCTTTAAAAAAATGATTTTGAGAATAAACAAATAAAACAATAATAATAAAAAAAGACTTCTGCCTCAAAGAAGGAAATCAGGTGGTGTTAAGAAGGACACCACATTAAAAGGTGTTTTTGAGAGGAGAGAACAACCCAAATTTCAGTGAGGCTCAGCAAGGTGGGTGATTTATGCCCTGACAACGAGGAGGAAAAGATACAGCATAACCATGGTGACTGCTGAAAATCACTCACGGGCTGTGAGAGGGCCCCTCTGAGCAGCATCACAGCATAGTCTACGGGTAAGTCATGCTCCAGCAGAGGGTCCAGGCCTCGCTGTGGGAACCCAGGGCTGCGTGACAAAGCCCGGGTGACAGCTGCTCACCTTGGCAGGTGGGCACCGGAGATGACCAGTTTCCAAAGGGCCCACAGGTGGCTTCCTCCATCCCGGTGAGCTCTGTTCCCTCGGAGCAGTTGAAGGCACACCGCGAGCTGTAGCTGAAGTCTCCCAGCGGGTGGCTGCAGGCCATGGCGCCCAGCACGGGGCCCTCCAGAGGTGCACATCGTGTCACTTGAATAAGAAGAGACAGCATTGGGAGGCGAGAGGGCCTGGTGGCTCGTGAGTGCAGGTGCGGCCACCTGAGGACCAGGGCGGTGACAGGGCCATGATCCCTGTCAGCTCTGCTGACTGTCCTCACCTCCTGGAGTTGGTGTGGGAATTAGATGAGTGAGTGCAGGACAAGGACTTAAAATAGAGCCCGGCTCACGGGAAGTTTTATTAAGCATGAACTAATCTTCTTGTTATGTGTGGCATTATCTGGGGAGAGAATTTTTACACTTACACGGGTTTAAGTGGGAATAACCGGCTCAGTCTGGAGATTACTGAGAGTTTTAGGGTGATGGGGTAGGAAGTTTGGAGAAAGAGGGGGTATCTCTGCCTGGACTCTGCCTCATTCTCCCTAGCCGCCGCCAGGCCTTAGCTCCTCCAGCTGGACAGCCCTCCCCGGAAGCCGCACCGTCTCCCTGCTCTGGTCGGTGGTGCAGTGGATCACATTAAGGCTGAAGATCAGCCTCCAAGGTTAGGCTCTGTCATGTTATTTGGGCCAATATTGCAACTCTAGTGCCTTATGTTTTATTAAGTTTGAGCCATTGTGTGATTCTGCTCTTGATATTTCAATAAAGAATGGATCCAAGGAATTGGGAGACATTTTATATTTTTTCTTATCCAGTCCAAGTCCAAATGAAAGTGAATTACATGCTGAAACCAGTCTGGCTCAGCATCGGCCTGCGGACTGAAAGATCTCAGGTTCGATTCCGATCAAGGGCATGTACTTGGTTGCAGACACATTCCCAGTGGGGGGTGTGCAGGAGGCAGCTGGTTGGTGTTTCTCTCTCATCAATGTTTCTAGCCTCTATCTCTCTCTCTTCCTCTCTGTAAAAAAATCAATAGTATATATATATATATATATATATATATATATATATATATTTTTTTTTTTTTTTTTTTTTTTTAAAGAAGGTGAATTACATTGTCCAGTTCAATCCATGCCCACAGGCAAGTGATCAATACACACCAGGCCCAGCCTCCATCCTGCAGATGCAGTGACAGGTTATATGTGCACCAACTTCCTGTGCCATCAGTGTGCCAGGGGATACAGACACGTGCACAGGTGGCCTCGTCAATGCAGATCATAAGGAAGATATACGTGGAGGTATTAGAACAAAAATAGGGACACTTGGACACTTCAGAAAGCTCCCTGAAAGAAATGGTCCCTGAACTATGTCTTCAAGATAAACAGGTGGATTATCCATGTAAAACATGAGAGAGAAATCCATGAGCAATCGACGAGATACAAAGCTCGTGAGGTCAATGTGGAAACTGTGAGCATTCTGATGTCACTAGAAGGAAAGAGGAGATGGAGGGGCGGGGGGGTGAAATGAGATTAGGGAGAAAGATAGGCACTAAGACAAAATGCCGTTGTCTTTTTCCATTGGTTTCCTGAGCACCCATGGTACAGCAGCATCTCTCAGGGCCTCGAGGAGTTTAGAGTTGTATCCCGTGGGACAACTGACAGGTGCACATGAGAGAGTGGGTGGCCACAGATGTGTGATGTTCGATTGTTTCCATTTGATCAGCCTGCTCGTAGTGTGCATATTTGAGGGGCACTCATCGAAGGTGGTGGATTGCAGCTAAGAAACTAGACAATCTTCTAGGAAGGGGTTGAGGAGCGCAGTGGCAGTAGAATTGACAAGCAGGAGACAAATTGGAGAAACAATAAAAATGAGTAGTGTGTACACATAGGGTTGGTGAGAGGGTTTCATACCAGAGCACTCGTATAAATGGTGATCCACACACGAAGATGAGGAATACCGTGGAAAGCTGCTGGGACAGTGGCTTTGCAGCCTGTGGGCATCCCAAGGAGATGCCTGTATATTTGGAGTTTAGGGCTGGAAACAAGTCATCAGTCCAAAGCTCACATAGACTCGTGAATTCACAAAAGTTGGCACGTTTGACCAAAGGGAGCGTAGAGAGTCAAAAGAGAAATGGGCAAGAGGTAGAAGATGAGAAATAGCAATAGTGTGTGGGCTTGGGCTTGTGCCCGTGAAGAAAACCGGAGAGAAATGATCACAGGTAGAAAGAAAACCAGGAAAGAGTGGTACAATGGAAGCCAAGACCAAAAAGACTGAAGTGTTCAACGAGGGAGTGGACATGGCAATGATGTAAGAACCAGAAAACAAAGCTTCGGGACGGAGTGAGGGTGTAGGGTTGGGTAGGAGTCACGGATCTGCAATCGAGTGAAATGAGGTGGATCCATTCCAGTTGGTTGACATTTAAATTTGCTTCAGCCTCAATTCTTTATTCTTTACAAACATTGCTCTTTCCCCCTCCTTATCACCTTATACTTTATGCACCAGATACTTCAAACATAGTTTTGAAACTCAACCAATTCGGTCAAAGGGTTTGATGTGTTTCTCGGTAGTGAGTTGACTGGGTCAAAGGCTCCTAGCTTTGAATCTGTATTTTCTTCCCTTTCTGTTTCTACCACCTCGACTCTGGGTGATTTCAAGAGCATCCTACCGATCCTCTCCATCTTCTCCCTTTCTGCTCTCCACTCCATCGCCCACACTGCTTCTGGGATACCTGCCCCACATGCAGGTGTTAAGATACTAAATGGCAGAAGAAAAAACCCTCCAGACACAAACAACAGTGCAGTGATTACCAGAGAAAAAGAAGGGGTCAGGTGGGGAAGGTTGAACAGGGCAAAAGTGGGAATAAATGGTGATGGAAGGTGACTAAACTTGGGGTGGTGAGCACACAATACCATACTCAGATGATGTCTTATAGAATTGTACACCTGAAACTTGTAACATATGCTAACCAATGTTACCCAATAAAGTCAATAAAAAAGATACCAGCAGTCTCCCATTTATAATAATAAAAGTGTGATACACTAATTAGACCAGATAGCCGAACGGCCTTCAGGACGAAGCCGGGGCTACCAGGGCTGAGTCCCTTGCACGAATTTCATGCATCGGGCCTCTAGTTGTTAAACAGAAGCCAGGTTGCTTCATTAGGCAGTTTCCTGTCCCTGCAAACTTACCCCGGCTTATCTTGCTTTCAAGCAAACCAAATTATGAGCATATATAATTTCCACCAGTTAACTGTAAATCCTTTAAGGGCAGAATCTGTAATAGATTTGCCTTTCTATCTTCTGAAATACACAGCCCAAAAGTGTTGAATGTATTATTACATATCTCCGACCTCTATGTACTGTATACCATTATGTGCGTGAACTCTTCTTTTTGGCTTTGCCCTGTTATGACTTTGAGGATTAACATAAACAAGCGAGATTGCCTTCTGGGTAACTCACCCTCCAAACCATAAATGTTTCCATGTCTTTCAGACTTTAAAGTTCCAATGAGCCCAACAAGCTCACTAGAGACGAGTTTCTAAAAGCAGGAATCGGCCCCAGCTGATTTGTCACTGTCCTCCTGACCCCGTGTTCTCTGTGGCTCTGGGAGAGACTTGTTGAGACGAGAATTGAAACTTCATCCTGACTTAGGAAATCTTTACGGAAAGGTGCCCGCGTTTCGCAAGCCCAGCCTTCTGATCACAACTTCTCATTTCTCAGAATGGCTGGCACCTTGCTGTCCCAGCCCACTTCCACCGTGGCAGGAACCCGGTCGCTCACACAGGAAGAAGCCACGAGGGCAAAGGGCTTACCGAACTGGCACTGGGGCCCATAGTAGCCCGCGTCACAGCGGCAGGTGTTGTTGTTGATGGTTTCCATGCATTCGCCGTGGCCGCTGCATGACCAGGGCTGGCACGAAGCTTTAAGGGGATCAGGAAGAAATTATTTTAATGTGATTACTTTGTAGTACGCATAGTCATATTTTTAGACTTTTAGATAACTTTCTGCCTGAGACTAATTTACCACACAGGAAACCTTCATTTGTATATTCATAGTACCTTTGAATAAAAACCATACGCTAACATTTTTATGTACGTCATATACTGGCCCGTAGCCATACACATTTATTTGGCGAATGAATTCGCCAATGCTGACTAACACTCTAGCATTTTGGGAAGTCTTAGGGATATGCATTGAAACTCTTGACATTACTTGGTTTTTAATGTAATGGGCAGATTCAGCGATGCCCTATGGTTTCTGCAGTCAGATTGCTCGGCAATCCCTTTCTTCGCAGAAAGAACGATAGATAGAGGGGAAAAGTCCAAACTGCAAAATCATCTGGGCGTCCCATCTGCCAGGGCCCCAGGGAACGGTGTTTCACTGTTCAAATTGACTCGGAAAAGAGTCGGGGCTGTTTGGGCTGTTGCCGTGGCCCTTGGGGAGCTGTTATAATCAATGACGTTGAAGCACACGTTCCATTGCCCAGAACCCGGGCTCCGCCACAGGCAGCGCCACGCCAGGCTCTGCTTTGCAGTGAAGACACTGAGGGGGTGTGAAGCTCAGCTCCCCGCTTCCCCGCCTTCTCCTCAGGGACCCTGACAGTCTAATCCTTTCTCCTTAAACACCGCTCATCCTTTTCTTTTTCTTTAATTTATTTTTATTGATTTCAGAGAGGAGGGGAGAGGGAGAGAGAGATAGAAGCATCAATGGTGAGAGAGAATCATTGATTGGCTCCCTCCTGTATGCCCCCTACTAGGGATGGAGCCTGCAACCCAGGCCTGTGCCCTGACCTGGAACCGAACCTGGGAGGGACCTTTCAGTCCATAGGCTGATGCTCTAGCCATTGAGCCAAACCAGTGGGATATAATTGGATTTAGGTGCACAGCTTTGGGGTATTGGGACCAGCCTCACACTCCAGGAAGGCTCTGCAGTGACATGGGTCGAGCTGCCTGGAGGCCTGGGCTGAACTCAGAAAGCACCAGGCTCTGCCCAGCATCCCCTGGGGCCTGGCTCTCTCCCCGGGGCTCCCTACCTGTGAGCACAGGGGCTGGTCTCTCCAAGGGGCTCCCTGTCTATGAGCACAGGGGCCTGGCTCTCTCCATGGGGCTCCCTACCTGTGAGCACAGAGGCCTGCTCTCTCCACAGGGCTCCCTGCCTGTGAGCACAGGGTCAGGCTCTCTCCACGGGGCTCCCTACCTGTGAGCACAGGGGCCTGGCTCTCTCCACGGGGTTCCCTACCTGTGAGCACAGGGGCCTGGCTCTCTCCACGGGGCTCCCTGCCTGTGTGGCACAGGGGCCAGCTCCCTACCTGTGTAGCAGAGCGCGGCCTTGGGCTTGTGGCAGGCATCGTCATTCCACTTGCCCGCGTCCTGGCTCCTCTTGATGTACATCTCCACGCAGTCCTCCTTGGACTTCTTGTTGTTGGGCTCCCCGGCGCCCCAGTTCTCGGCCTCGGCCGTGAGGGACTTGTTGGTGCCCACCCAGGTCCACACGCCGGCCACCTTGCGGATGCCGATCCAGTAGTAGGTGCGGCTGAAGGGCAGCGTCCGGTTCAGGTACTCGATCTCCCCCTTGTTCTGGATGGCCACCAGGTCGGTGTAGTTCTGTCGGCAGAACCTCCTGGCGCTCGCCCAGTTCATGGGTCTTTCGGAATAATGGTACGTCCAGCCGTCGGCCCCATGGTAGGCAGAGAACTCTGAAAAGACATGAGCGAGAGGGCACACCTCCGTCACAGCTGGCACCGCGGGACTCACCCCGGCCGAGCCCCCTGGGACGGGAGGAACCCGCACAGCTCAGGTGTAAGGTCCCGCCTGGTGCAGAATGAGTCATCCACAGGTTCGAAGCAGAAAACACCCCCGCTAGTCCCAATCACTTCTCACCACAATACAGGGCGCTTTTGCACATAGCTCTGTTTTCGACAAACTTGACGGCTTTCTAGATTTATTTTCGTGAAATAATTTTTTCCTCTCCAAATTCTTTCAAGTGAAATGTAACCAACCTAATTCAGACATTCATGTCTACCTTTGTAGCTGCCCATGGTTTACAAGTAATTTAAGTTTAACCTATCTCTCTAAGGTGTACCGTGTTTTTTTTAATCCCAGGATAGTTTCCTAAAGGCCAGCCCTTCTGCTTCTAGGAGAAGTCAGACTAGGACAGGAGTGATGATATATTGCTAAGCAATCTCTTTTGTATCAGAAAGATAATAGTTAGCACAGGAAGAACTGCTTCTGGGAAAACGTCCGTCCACAGCCCAAGCCTTAGACATCTAACTACATCACAACACCCAAAGTGCACACAGCCAAATGGTGTGGGACTGGGGGATGTGTTCAGATGGTGTCCCGTACACAGAGACCTCAGCTGATGGCGTGTGATCATCACAGGTGCTTCAGCTATGAGCACCTTGAAGAAACCAAGACAAACGCATAGTCACACAGTGACCTCGTGATAACATGGGCCGTTCCGAGCATGTGTGATCTGTGAAACGCTGCTCTCCTGTGAAGTAACCGTATTCACAGCCGTCAATACTGATTGGGTTTTCACCGTGTAGTGCAAACCCTGTGGAGAAATGTCACAGAAAACAGGTCCAACATTTCTGTCTCCTGAGGATTCTAAGTGAGGCAACACAGATGCAAAGAAAACATAATTCACCTGGAGCAAGTCAAACATATCGAAGTGAAATATATGATTCGTGAGGAAAGAATGTCCTAGAATGGACAGGTGGGCCGAGCTGTGAAGGGGCATTCCACCAGAAGGTCAGTGCTGGAGGGAGGAAACTGCTCGGCTCACTGCTCTCCGGGCCTTCAGTGCCAAGAGCAGTGCCTGGCACACAGCAGGGACTCCCCAGGGTGCCAGGGGGCATGGGCAGACATGGCACAAGGGATGTGTGAGGGGCCAAGGGACGCACGCTTGCTTGGCCAGAGCTGCAATTTCAAGCCAGGGAGTAAGAAGACATTAGCTTACTGCGACGCTGGGAACCTTCCCAGCAACCGCCAACACTCTTCAAGAACCAGACATAGCATGCGTCACAGCCATGGGAAAAGCATCAAAAAATAAAGGGCTGGCCCTTTAAAAGCTCACACGTTAATTGTAGAATTGATGTTCACTGAACGGTGGATGAATCATAGAAAGCGCAATGCTAACAACCATCTGGTTAGTTCCCTGTTAGATATTTCTTAATTGGCCTTCTTCCTTCACAACTCAGCTCTGGTGGGACCGCCAGGCTTTGGGCCTGCAGCAAAGGGTGTGGCAGGGGCCAGGGGGTTCCGGGAAAGGACCGAAGAGGAGAGGAAGGAAGGTCTTCCCCGGAGGGGTGGCATTCACGGTGTCTGCCTACGAATTTCCCAGGGCTCTGCACGCCCAGGGGCCACTGAAGAAAAACGAACAAGTGGACAAAGGCTCAGCAACACACACCCCGCAGAACGTACCCCAGCAGAGCACCATCCACACCCACAGCTCCAAGGCCCGCTGAGCGCTCCGATGTCTCCGGGGAGAGAGCTGCGGGGAAAAACGCGAGATGTGACTTAAATCCACGCGCACAGCCCCGGGGGAGGCTCCCACCACTTTCCTAGAGTTCCAATCCAGACACACGGGCTTGGAAAGCTGGCCAAAGGCACTGACTCCTCAGACACGGCTGAAAGAGAAGCATCAAATCTGCCTCAAAACGGGTCCTTTATTTTCATGTCTCAGCCTCCAGGTGCTGATGGGACTCCTCTGACTTTTTCTATATTTCAGGAATGTTTTGTGCCTCCTTCACTGCTGAGCTGTTAGATGGAACCACTTGGTACCTCGTATGTATTGTTTTAAAATGCCCCTTGGTGCTTAATGGGCTGTTGACATTTAGGTTGAATGTTTAAAATCCCCCACTTGATTATGCTGCTTCCAGTTCCTAAAAGAATGAGACAGCCAGCCAGACGGCAGAAAGAAAGGCAGTTTCATTGTTTTCAAGTAAAAAAAAAAATGCCTTTTGAGTAACTCGGATGGCAAGACCACACGTTGCCTGCACCCCTAAAACCATGTGGTCTGTAATGTCCCTTCTCAGGGAGCCGCAGGTTAGCTCGCAAAGCTGCTCATGGCAACAAGGGGGCCCGGAGTCTCAGCCCAGACAGCCGAGCAGAGTGAGAGAGGAGGGCCCTGGGGGCTCCGGCAGGTTTGGCTCCTGGCTCTTCTAAAGCAAAAAAGAAATGTGTTGCCTCCTGTCCTTTGCCACCCGCCTCTGCAACCCGAGAAGAGGCTCTGCCAGCCCCCCGAGGCCCTGCAGGCTGAGCTCACCATGTCTGCGGTCCTGGTCCCGGCCCTCTGCGGCCCCACGTCCCACTCTGCTCCGGGCTCCGGTCCTGGCCCAGGCGAGGCTGACTGTGCACTGAGTGCCCAGAAGGGCTGCTTTCTCTCATTTCTCTAAGCAGTCTCACATCCTCCTCCTCCCCACTCCCCGCCCCCCTCCTGGCTCCTCTTTCCCCACCTCTTTCCTGACCTGTCACCTCCCCTGAGAAAAACAGAGCTCTGACCAAGGTGCTGCTGTTAGATCTCCCTCTCCTCTGCTCTCTCTCCTTCCAGCCTCCTTCTCCCTCTCTTCCTTCCTCCCTCCCTCCCTTCCTCCCTTCCTTCTCTCCTTTCCTCCTCCTTTCTTCTCTTCTCCTCCTCCCTCCCTCCTTTTTTTTCTCCCTCCCTTCCTCCCTCTCTCTATCTCTGTCTCCCCTCTCTCTTTTTCTATCAGCACCGGGCTAACTCTCCGCTACCCGCTATCTGTGGTAGAGGGCACCTGATGACCGCAAACACCACACAATCAAAAAGTACTTCAGACACATTCACTATAACCCTTTGACTGCATAGAGCTCACCTGCAACAACCTGAGGGTGCCTTCCTGCCCCTCGCTCACCCCCTAGTGGACATCCTTGTCAATGGCACCCCTAAAGTTAAGCCCGGACCTGCAGAGCAACTCTGGCTTTCTGCCCTCGGGGTTTGGGGGCCTAAAACACCCTTCTCCGAAGGAGATAAACTGCTTATGAAATCAGGACCCGGATGATGGGGGGCAGTGGAAGGGGGAGTCACTGGCAATCAGATTTACATTTTTGAAAAGACAATAATAACAACAATAGCTATAAATCTCAATGTTCCATGTTGATTACCTTATTAATCTTTATAGAAATTAAATACAACACCCACAGTTGGTGCTGTTGCTACCCCGGTTTTCCCAGGCTCAGGAAGGTGAGAAAGGAAGAGACCGGGGGTGGAGGACCAGCCCCGCTCCAGCATGTGTGTGTGTTTAGTGTGCTGCCCTCCTCCTGGCCGGAGCTCAGAGGCATGTGGACATGGGGACACGCCTGGGGCCGAGGGGAGCCATGAAGTGCCCATCTCCACCCACAGCCCAAAGTAGTGTCAGGACTGTGTTTCTAAGTCCCCGCTCCTGTTCTCCCCTGACCTTGTCAGCCAGGCTTTCTGCCACACCAGGACCCTGGGTCCTCCCTTCCCTACTCCCACAGCCAGGTCTCCATCCCCTCCCTTCTCGGCCAGTGGGCCCTGGCTTCCCACCTCATCCACGTCCTTCTGTTTCACTGGCCAGTGCTCCCTCATCTCCTGACTGCCACGCCTGTGGCCCCAGCACTCGCTGCTCTTCTTTCCTTTACCCCGTGGACTTGATGGCCTGTCCCGGTCTCTGAACCTGAATGCCATCTCCATGCACTCACTTTCGATTTCTCTTTCCACTCCTCTGGCCCAGGAACAACCCCCGTGCCCATCGAACACCTTCCCAGTATCTCCATTAGTGGTCCACTCCACCTCCACATTCTACATGCACCACACTGACCTCAGGTTTCCCCTCGAACCAGAGAGCGCATGTGACTCTGGAGTGGATGCAGCTCGGTGAGGTCACGGTTGAGGCCGTGTTCAGGAGAGGCAGTGGAGCGGAGGGAGAAGAATGATGGAGAATGGAGAACGTGGGCAGTGGACCACAGTGCACCTGTCTCAGGTCGCACCGGATGCAGGAGTGCTTGAGGCTGAGGAGGACCAGGAGCTGGGGCCGAGCCGCCTGTGCCGGGGCTGGGAGTCCTTGCCAGGAGGTGGTGAACTTGGTATTATGTGCTCCAAGGAAACAGGGTTATTTTATTTCTTTTTTTCATTTCTAGAAGCCTTGCTGGCATGGTTCAGTGGTTGAACATCCACCTATGAACCAGGAGGTCACAGTTTGATTCCCAGTCAGGGCACATGCCCAGGTTGCAGCCTTGACCTGCCCACCAGTAGGGGGCATGCAGGAGGCAGCCAATCAATGATTCTCTTTCATCATTGATGTCTCTCTCTCTTTCTCTATCGCTCTCGCTCTCCCTCTTCCTTCCTCTCTGAAACCAATAATCATGTTTTTAAAGGGGTTAGAGGAATGAGGATCAGTAAGAGAACCTCATCATAAAGGAGACCGCCCCTGCCTCCATCGCTGAGGTGTGGGTGTGAGAGAACAGACGTCCCGTCGAGAGACCTGCGGGGCCTGTCACAGGCCCGGCTGCGGGACAGCAGGGTGGCCCGGGGCTTGGAGAGGAACTGGAGGGTGGGGCTGGCTGACTGGGGGAGCAGTCCAGAAGGTGAAGGTGGTGGTCGGGAAGGGGAGCAGGTGGGTCAGGAGGCGTGGCCTGTGAGCTGGCTGGGAGGTAACCAGCCAGCAGAGGGGCCTCCATTCCAGCTGTGAGGAAGGAGGTGGCCGTGGAGGGGTGGTCCTGCTGGGCCCGGGGGCAGGGGGGCACTTAGTCTGACTCTGGAGAGTGGGTTTGTGGCGTCTTCCATGGAAGCTAACCTGCTAACCCAGAGCCGCTCCCCTCCTCACATCTGTGCTCTCACTGGCCATGTCCATGTGCCTCGGGCCCCTGCATTCCTCTGCATACATGCAATTCATCGTTGTTTCTTTGTTTTGCTTTTTTAAATATGTTTATTGATTTCAGAGAGGAAGGGTGAGGAGGAGAGAGAGAAACATCAATGATAAGAGAGAACACTGATCAGCTGCCTCCTGCACGCCCCATACTGGGGACAGAGCCCACAACCTGGGCACGTGCCCTGACTGGGAATTGGACTGTGACCTCCTGGTTCATTGGTCGAGGTTTAACCACTGAGCCGCGCTGGCCGGGCTGCACACGTTGCGTTTGCACAGTTTGCTGCAGCACTCCGCCGGGAAAGCCCACAGCCACACACTGCCTGTTGGGCTGCTGTCTCAGTCCTCCAGGGAAACAGCCTCACCCGCTGGATCTAGCCTGGTTTTTCCTTTTTTCTTCACTCTTCCTCTTGAGTAGAACCTTTGTGCTGAGATGAAGTATAAAATCAAAGTGAAACCAACTGTGGCCGATGACAGTGCCATAACCACAACTGTTTTCCGCCTGGACAACCCGGTCAACAGTCAAACTAGGTTTTCTTAGAAACTTCAGATGTGTTGAGTCTTTGATACCAAGGAGGTTTTTAGCTTTCAGAAGAGAGAAGACGCCTTTTTGGGGGGAGGTTACGGGGACAGAAAAACTAGCTGGGCCCTGAGCCTGGAGGAAGACAAGTCTGCAGAGTAAATGAAGGGGAGTGGTTTGACTCGAGCAGCTTGAGATGTGAGATGGGCATGAGGCAAAGCCTCCAGGATAAGGACCCTGTTCCATTGACCCTCCTCACCTTTTCTAGAGCGTTCACACTTTTCAGACAACCGTGCGGTGCTGCTGCAGGGGCCCGAGTGCGGTGATCGCCCAAAAGACAGACAGTGCCAGGGTTGGACGGATGTGGAGAAACTGGGGCCCTCGTGCACTGCAGGAGGCGGGTAGAAGGGTGAGGCCCTCTTACAGAACAGTTTGAATGAAACATGGAGTTACCAGAGGGCCCGGCAATTGCACGCCCGAGAGAACAGAAACCATACGTCTACTCACAGGAAGCTCATAGCAGCACCCTTCACAGCAGCCAACGTGCAGCAGCGAGCCAGAGTTCACCAGCTGGCGGGTGGGGTCAGGAAGGGAGGCACGGCCATACGATAGGGGATTCCTCAGCCATAAAAAGGAATGACGTTCCACACCTGCTACAGAGTGGATTGGCCTTGGATACATCGTCCTGAGTGAAAGACGCCGGACACAAGGCCTCATAATGCCATGTATGTGAGATGCCCAGAGCAGGCAAGTCCGTGGAGGCAAAGGCAGGCTCCTGTTCACGGGGCCGGGGGGGGGAGGGGGGGGCAGAGGGAGAGTGACTACTGGTGGGCACTGGGTTTCCTTTGGGGGTGAGAGGTGTGCTCTGGAGTTATACGTAGTGTGACTGAAGGATCTTGTGGATATACAAAAACTATTGATTGTACACTTAAAAAGGCGCATTTTGTGGTGTGTGAGTTTTACCTAAATAGCATGGAATTTTTAAGAAAGAGGCCACGCACAGAGATACATATAAACATGTTTATTAGCAAACATCATCGTGCCACGTCGAATACAATAAGTATGACATAAGCTTAAATAAATACATACTTTTAAACATTGTAAAATATTTTAAATCATAATTTAAAATACTTCAAAAAAACAAAACAAAACACAGACACGCTTCCAACCCTATAACATACACATTTACACTTGGACAGTTTCAGATAAAATGGCCATCCATATGCTGATCACACATTTCACATGCATCCTCTTTCTCTTATCTCCCATCCTCTTTCTCTTATCTCCCAGGGTCCTTTGCCCTCCAAAACCCCTGCCATCCTGACTCCTATCGCCCCTCCTCTTGCTTCTGGCTTTGCCAGGGCCAAAGGGCCACAGGGCCTCTGAGCGTGGCTTCCCCGGCACATACAGAGGCGACAGGGCATGAGAGAGCTCTGACCCTCCCACCTGCAAGGTGGAAGCAGCCCTGCAGTCACTGACAGCTTGTCTCAGTGCCAGCGATCAATAACCGGATTCCTTAGGGTTTTAAGCTCCTTTCCACACGAATATAAACACTTGCTCTTCCAGGCTTCCCTCCCTTTCAGGACAGCCTCCCACACAAGAAAACAACTGGGAAATAATCATTCGACATCTTCATTTTGTAAAAAACCACTGGTCCTATTGTGGACTTAGGGCCTTGCACTCGTCAAGAATTGTACGCTGACACATCACATCCGACTAACATCTTTTTTGGGATGCAAAGGAACATCCTTATTCCCACAGGCGGGTGCTTTTTTAACAAAGACATTCACAAAAGGGTACCTTCATTCATTCGCGCGGTTGCTTTTACCAAATCAGAACCCTTGGCCTCCTGGAAGTTTTTCAACACGGAAACCACAGCTGTCTGAGAGATTAACTGACCGTGCACAGTGTCTGCCACGTAGCTTTTACTCGCGTGGTCCTACTCTGTTTTTTAAAAGCAACTGTAGGGGAAAATTAACCATCTTCACTGGTTACTTTGTCAGGGGACAGGATTTGCCCTTTTTCGAAATACGGTCACTGCAGGTGCCACGTTAGAATTTGTTAATAAATAAAGAGATGGTGATCTAGAGAGTGACTGTTGCCCGGTCATAGTTCTAACACTTACTTATGTTCAAGTCCCTACAACACGTGTAGTACTGATTGAGAATCATGGAACACATCTCCATGCAAGTGAGACGAATGCTATCTCTATGAATACCTTAAAGAGCACCGAGTCCCCTAGGACACAGTGGTCCAGGCTTTGTTTGATAATCTCCACACAGGTGTTGGCTGTATTTGTTATCTCAAATGAGAAACAGACTATCTTTGTATAATTGGCTTCCTCTAAACTTTTGACAATTATCATTCAGCCTATGACAGCAACTTTATAACCAGTAGTTATAACACTACTAGAGTCCCGGTGCACCAATTCGTGCACTGCTGGGGTCCCTCAGGGCTGAAACCAGCAGCCCTACGCCACCTGCCGCTCCTGCCTGCTGCTCCTGCCTGCTGCTCCCACTCATAGTCCTGATCCTGTGTCCGCCCAAGGAGGGTGAGAGGGGTGGCTGGGATGCGATCAGCCCTCCAGGTGGGCGATGGAAGGCTCTTGCTAGCCCAGGATCTGGATCCATTCTGCTGATGTTCACACCAGTTGTCGAGAGCCACCTGGCGGCCGATTTTATATAATTTTATTTTTTTCCCCTCGAAGCATCTAGCGAGGGGAAGCAGCCGTGGTGCCTGAGACCGACTTCAGGAGGCCAGGGGTACTGTCAGGATCGTGCTGACGATGCCAGTCAATGGCTGCCTCATCCATTCTCTGGAGATTGGACCTGCAGGACTACTGAGGGAAGGAGTGGCCACCACCAGGATGGTGGGCCGCTGGAATGGTGGGCTGCTGGGATGGGTCAGTTAGCTGACCACCAAGGAACAGCTCCTGTGTTGAGTGTCTTTCCCCTGGTGGTCAGTGAGCGCCATAGCTACTGGTCAACTGGTGGACCAGTCATTCAGTCACTTAGGCTTTTATGAAGGACAAAAGAAAGAAACAATGTCACGAAATACTGGGTTTCTCCACCAAGGTTTCATCAGGAGTAGGGAGAGTTAGAAATGGAGTTCTGAGACTCCGGAGCCTTGGGCTCTTTGTTTTTGTCTGGAAGAGATTGTCCTTCCCCCTGGTACCCAGCACTTTCCAGAGCCTTAGAACAGGACAGAGGAAACTGAATCATTTTGCTGGCAGGCTGGCCTTGCCTGTGGGACGTTGGTCCTTTGAAATTCTCGAGGGCACTACAGTCCAGCTGCAGTAGGTGACAAAGGTCTGAGATCCAAGGAGAGCTCTCTGCTTCTGCAGTCCTCAGGGCATCGCTCTCATTCCCTCCTTTACCTGGTGTTCCTGCAGGGATAAGAGTGCAGATCATCAGGACACTTAATGCTCTGCATAAGAAGAGTGACAACAGAATTCATCTTCTGTTCACTCTATGCACTCTCACTGGGGGAGTGCAAACATGAATAGCAAATCCTACTCCGTTAGCTCAGTGCAGTCATTCTGTATGTGGCTACGAAGGTGGATTTGTGTCATATAGTTGTCAAAACCCCTAGAATATACAACACCCAGACTGAACCCTAAGACTGTGAACTTTAGTTAACGATGTAGGCTCACAGGTTGTAACAAAATACCATACTAATGCAAGATGTTAACAATAGAGGAAATGGGGGGTGGGAGGCAGGGTATGTTGGAAGTACATGCTTTCTGCTCACTTTTCCTACGAACCGGAAATGCACACAAAAGGTACTCATTTTTTAAAAAGCATTTGGGGGAGACTTGACCCTTTCAAATCCTCAGAAAACAGAGCAGAGTTGGTGAAGGCCACAGATTCTAGAACCGAACTGCCCAAGCATGAATCCATCCTGGCCACCCCACTTACTAGCTTTGCGATTTTATGCAAATTACTTAACTTCTCTCTGCCTCATTTTCTCCACCTATATAATAATAAATACAGTAATAGCACCATCGCATAGACTTCCTAGCTCAGAACCGTTCCCAGGATATAGGAAGTGCCATATAAAGGGTAGCTATTATCATCGTTATTATTTTTTTAAAATATATTTTATTGATTTTTTTAGGAGAGGAAGAGAGAGGGATAGAGAGTTAGAAAGATCGATGAGAGAGAGTCATCGATCAGCTGCCTCTTGCACAAGCCCCACTGGGAATGTGCCAGCAACCAAGGTACATGTCCCTGACCGGAATCGAACCCGGGACCTTTCAGTCCGCAGGCTGACGCTCTATCCACTGAGCCAAACCGGTCTCGGCTCTCATCGTTATTATTAACTTCCATAGCGAACTGACTCAGTGTGGCCAGAGCCTGGTTCCTTTCCTCTCCTCCTGCAAACATGTGAAACCACAGTCCCGGGAAGAAATGACCCCTAACCTCCACGCTAGAAACTGACCGGTTTGGGGGGGGGGGGGGACTCAATGAACAACAGAACATGCACAGAGGCTGTCTCCTCTCAAAACCGCAGGTGATTGCAACGCCTACCTGATTCCCTTCGGATTTAAATTAGCGTCTGGTAGGATCCGTCGGAGGGAGGGCTTTGGCAGCTGCTGCGGATACACAAGACCAGCGGGTGAGGCACCGCTCTCGGCCGAAAGAGAAAGACAGACGACAGCCGTGTCTGTGCTCAGCGGCACGCGGGGTGCAGAGGGCAACTTACCTGGCGGGAACAAACTTCTTTGCTGCAAAAAAGAAAAACCCGTAATTCGGACTTAGTGACGTTGAAGGACACCTAGAGTCCAGAGACAGTCTGATTCGCCCTCAGGGGTTACACATCCAGCGCCTTGGGGGGCCCCGTGTGATCAGAGCGCCAGCACAGCGTGGCGGCGAGTAGGGCGGCGCGGGCCTCACGGAGGGGCCTGGCTCCCAGCACCACCGCAGCCACGGGCTCGGCCTGCCAGAGGCAGGGTCCACGTTTTCCTGACAAGTCCCAGGTCTTGTGGGGAATTTCCTATTTTGTCATCAGAACTTCATTCAAAGAAATGTTCCATACTCCGGAGGCCAAACAAACCACAAGCGTGGCTGGATGCTTTGCATCCCCTCCGATGAATTCCCCCATGGAAGCCTGTGCCCCAAGCACATTTTCAGAGACATTCTGCCCCCTTTCCTGGGAGCACGGCCCCGGAGGCCACGGAGCCCAGCGGCGTGGCGCTGCCCGAGGTCCTGCAATGAGAGTGAGCACCACAGACACACATTTCCTACAGCTTCCCGCCCGGTGGGTGCTCTCCCCGGAGACCGCTGCTCCGCGTGGCTGCCGCGGACCCTGACTTCCTGCCCCAGAGCGTGGCCAGTGCAGGGGGGAGGGGGGGGGCGCGGCGTGCACAGGCCTCACCTTTCTTCCGAAGGCGCTTCAGCAGCCAGAGCAGGAAGGACGAGGCTGTCAGGAGGGAGGTCCCCCCTACGGAGAGCCCGATGGCCAGGGGCAGGCTGGACGGGGCTGGGGCTGCGGAGACAGGGAGGAGCCGTCACAGGAGGAACTGGCTTGGAAATCCTTCTGTCCTTCTGCTCTGTGCATCTGCCCTTTGCTCTGTACACACATCACTGGGCCCAGAGCAGAGGAGCCGCACGGTCCGCACGTGGGAGGAGGAGTTGCCTTAAAGACCTGGGAGGTCTGCCCAGCCCAGCCCGACTCATTGCCACGCTCTTTTCCGGCACACAATGCACCCCAGACTCTCTCTCTCTCTCCCTCTCTCTCTCTCTCTCTCTCTCTCTCTCTCTCTCTCTCTATCTATCTCTATCTCTCTCTATCATCCCCCCGCCCCCCAGCTCTCCCTTTATGATGCTCAGTATTCCACCCATTCTATCACCATGTCACCTCTTCTGTTTTCTCTGTATTCCCATTAAGTTGCATTGTCACAGCTTAGTAACCTGGCCTTTCCGGTTTGCACATAATGGATCTTCCTTATTTTAGCCAAATAACCCCCTTCTTCACTCTCGGCCCCGAAGACCTCCGTCAACAAGGGCCTCACCTTCGCAGGCGGGCGGCATCCCGGACCAGTGTCCTGCGGCTCCGCACGTCAGCGCCGCCGAGCCGTTGAGCGTCCATCCCTCGGGGCACGCGAAGGTGCACTCAGCGCCGACCACGAGCTCCCCGTCGCAGCTCACGGCCAGCTTGCCGGGCGCCGCCGGGCGTGAGCATCGCACCACTGCAGGCGAAGGACCGGGCGGAGGTTAAGGAAAATCCCCCGGAGGCTCCTAACCCCGGCTGGACGGGCAGCACACAAGCATGACTTATGGACACTGTGTCACTTTTTTTCATTTTTTAAATTTATATTTTACTAGAGACCCAGTGCACAGAATATGTGCTTGTGGGGGGAGGTCGCTCAACCTAGCCTGCACCCTCTCCAATCTGGGACACCTTGGGGGATGTCCTAAACTGGCAGTTGGACATCCCTCTCACAATCCAGGACGGCTGGCTTCTAACCACTAGCCTGCTGCCTGCCAGACTTTCCCCATAACCCCTCCCCTGCCGGCCTGATTGATGCCTAACTGCTCCCTTGCTGGCATGATTGTCCTCAACTGCCTTCCCCTGTGGGGCTGAGGGGACTGGGAGACTCCAGCTGGATGAAGCAGGACTTCGGGGTCTGGGCAGCACTATCTTGTAGCTGTGGGTGCCGCCATCTTGTGATGGCATAATGGCCAATTAGCATATTCCCTCTTTATTAGATAGGATTGCTTTTGGAGAGGAAGGGAGAGGGAGAGAGAGATAGAAACAACAATGATGAGAGAGAATCATTGATCAGCTGCCTCCTGCATGCTCCCTACTGGGGATCGAGCTCACAACCTGAAGCTCTATCCACTGAGCCAAACTTTACTTTAAATGAGGCTCAAGCCCCTGGGGGTGACATGTGAGGACTTGACCCACATGTACTCCTCTGAGTGTGACTTCAGTCTGACCTTGGCAGGAGGGGGCCTCCCGTGTCCACTGTCCCCGGGCCGTGCACTCCAGGCGAGCTGCCCCCTGCAGCCGGAAGCCGTCCTGGCAGCCGAAGGCGCAGGAGGAGCTGGGCGTGAGCTCCCCGGCAGGGGCGTGGCGGCACCGCACCCAGCCGCCCCGGGGCGGGGGCACGGGGTCGCATCGCACAGCTGGAAGGGGAGCAAGCACATGAGTTCACTTGTCTCAGGAGCCACAGGTTTCGCCAAGTCTCTGGCTCTTCTCTATATAAACACAGTTTTAAATTTTCCTTTTTGTGCATCCTCACCCCAGGATATCTTCCCATTGACTTTTAGGGAGGGTGGGAGAGAGAGGGAAAGACGGAGAGAAACATCGATGGGAGAGAGACACAACGCTTGGTTGCCTCCTGCACAAAGCCCCGGCCAGGGCCCAGGCCGGGGAGGAGCCTGCAACCAAGGTACATGCCCTTGACCGGAGTCGAACCCGGGACCCTTTGGTCTGCAGGCCAATGCTCTATCCACTGAGCCAAACTGATTAGGGTTTCAATGATTTTTTCAATCTTAAAAGAAAACAAAAACTATACCTTCACACGTGGGCTCCGGGCCATCCCACTGCCCCATGGGGCCACACTGGAGCCTTGCGGGTCCTGACAGCACAAAGCCTTGCTCGCAGGAGAAGGCACAGCTGGCCCCGGGCTGGAAGCTTCCAGAAGCGCTGGGGGGACAGCTCACGTGGCCCCTCTCAGGCCTAGAGGGGGCTTTGCACGGGGAAGCTGAAACAGTAGAGCATGGTCAGGACACGCCGGCGGGTCAGGAGGGGCCCAGTGCACGCTGTGGGCTCAGACTCTAGGTTACCCGGACGGTAACCATGGCTCTGACCAAAGGGCCGGCCGCCCCTAACAGGACAGGCTCCTCGGACATGGGAGAGGGGAGGGCAGGGCCAGGCGGGGTTTGTGTCCGCAGAGTGCAGCTGGGTCTGGATGCTACTCAGTGTTTCTCAAAGTGTGGTACGCGTACCCCCAGGGGTACGGGAAGAGTTTGTTGGGGGTACGCGATGCACCGGAGTTTGGTGGGGATATGCACTGCACCGTGCTTAGCTGCGCCTAATTCTACGTTCTCATGAGTACGAGGGGTACTCAGCGTTACGGAAATTATAGAAGGGGGACACATATGTCAAAAGCTTGGGGAACACTGCGGGCTGGTGCCGGCGAAGGGAGGTCAGCGCAGCCACGCCGGCCTGCTGTGCGGGGGGGAGGGTGGGGGGCTGCGGCGTTTGCCGGGGGCAGGGCCTGGGCCGCGGGTGGCTGTGAGGACAGCAGCACCTGGAGAGGAACTGCTGCTTTCGGTGCCTCCTGCCTTAGGCGGGTTAACCGCTGCGCTGAGCCAGCTGACAGCGGACGCCCCTCCCCGCTTGGCGGAGACACTTCAGAAGGAAGGAACCAGGTTCCAGCATCAGGGGGAGCTCTCAGGGTCCCGCCGGTTAAATGCAAATCTCACAGTGACACTGCCTCCCCACACCCTCCGCCGGCTCTGTGGGCGGCCCAGCAGGGAGCCGGCCTGTCTCTGCTCTCCCTGGGCAGTGCTTTCCGGCTGCGCCCGGTCCTGCTGCGCTCCGGGAGCTGAGAGCCTGCTGCCCTGAGTCTGACTTCCTGTCTCTGTTCCCACCCCCTCTCCTCTCCCCGCCACCCAAACACACACAGAGGCTGTGGCTGCTCACACTCACACTCACACTCACACTCACACTCACACACACTCACACTCACTCACACTCACACACACACACAGTCACACTCACACACACACACTCACACACTCACACACACACACACACACACACACACACACACACAGCCTGTGGCTGCTCGGAGGGCCGGGCTCACCCTCACAGCGCGGGGCCGGCTGCGCCCACCGCCCCTGCGCGGTGCAGTCCAGGCGGGCGGGCCCCCGCAGCACGAAGCCGTCCTCGCAGGCGAAGCTGCAGGCGGACCCGGAGGCCAGCTCCCCGGCGGGGGAGAGGCTGCAGCTCACCGAGCCGTGCGCAGGGGCGTCCGGGGCGGCGCAGGTCAGGGCTGTAACGCAGGGACCAGGGACAGGCAGTGAGCAGGGCTGGAGGGCGGGGGGGGGGGGGGGGGGGTGGGGAGTGGGGGGAGGGCCACCAGGGGATGTAGGGAGGAGGGGGACAGTGAATCCCCGGAGGGGGCTGGTCAGGGCTATAACACAGGGACCCGCAGTGAGCGGGGCTGGCGGGAGAGGGGGATAGGGCTGGGGAGGGGTGGGGGAATGGAGGTGTGGGGGGTGAGGTGGGAGGAAGCTCTGAGCAGTGAATCCCACAGGCCTACCTGTGCACGTGGGCTCCTCGTGGTCCCAGCGCCCGGCCGCCGTGCACCGGAGGCGCGGGGCCCCCACGAGCTTGAAGCCGGCCTCGCAGTGGAAGGCACAGCTGGTGTTCCATGGGACCGTGCTCCCTGGGACGGTGCTCCCCGGGACGGTGCTCCCCGGGACGGTGCTCCCCGGGAATGCCCCGGGGTCCTGGGAGCAGGCGGCGGAGCCGTGGGCAGGCGGTGTCACAGGGGCGCACCGGACCTCTGAGGGGGAGAAGGCACAGGGACAGGACGTCAGCGCGGGAGCCGCTTCCTGCCCAGCCTGAGTCCGGGATGGAGCGAGGAGCAGCCTTCCAGAGGCCTGGCAACTCCCAGGACGGAGGGCACACCCGGGGAGGCTTTCTCTCTCTGGAGGTCATTTCCCTCTGTTCTGGGCGTCGCTCTGGGCTCAGGGTCTGATCTGGAGCCCAATCCCAAGCCCTGAGCGAGGTGTCAGGGCCCCAGCGCAGGGCAGCAGACCTTCAGCCCCAAGCTGGCTCGGGGTGCGGGAACAGCAGGGACAGGCCAGACACCACTCACTAACTCCCACGCTCCCTGAGGACGGTCTGTCTCTGGCCGGAAGACAAGACGGAGCGAGAAGGAGACGCAGAGGCAGGCTGGCCACACAGCCCTGGACCGGGCTGTTGCTGCCGTCAGTCAGGGCGAGGAGGCAGAGACCTGAGGTCTGGAGCGTGTGCCCGGTTTGCCAGGCCCCAGGGCCGCAGAGAGACCTCTGCACACAGAGACAAAGCCTTTCACCCCAAGCGGGACCTGCCCGGCCATGGACACTGGCCGAGAACAAGCTTTCTGAAAAGAACTTTCCCGAGAGTTTGGACATGTCCCAGGTCGGGAAGGAAGCTGGGGTGGGGAGGGGGCCCCGGAGACTCACCCTCGCAGGCCGGCAGGGGCGCGCTCCAGGCCCCGGAGGCGGTGCAGCGGGTGGCGCGGGGGCCGCGGGGCCGGTAGCCCTCCCTGCAGCTCAGGGTGCAGGAGGTGTTGTAGCCGGAGCTTCCCCAGGGCCCGGTGCACTCCAGGCGCCCGTGCTCAGGGGCGTCCAGGGCCGGGCAGGTCACCGCTGGAAGGGAAACCGAGTCAGTCTACCCTCTCTCAGCTCCTCAAGAGGAGGGACCCCGGGAACCGCAGCTACTGTGGGTTCCTGAAAACCCCTGTCTGCCTCGGGTCCCAGAATCCCAGCCACAGCCCCAGAGGCAGGCTGTTCGCACGTTCATCCTGCAGCAAGAAAGCTGGGACCGGCGTGCAGCTCCGGTCACGGTGCCACGTGAGCGGGGAATCTGGGGTTTGAACCCGGAGGGTCCGGCTTCACAGGCTCAGCCCTTACCCACCGCACCCCACGCTCTGGGAAACCGAGGCCTGCAGACCCAGCTCCGAGCCAGCGAACTCGGCTGGCACTGCCATCCCAGGGAGGACAGGTGGCATTGGACTCACCCTGCTCGCACTGGGAGCCACGAAAGCCGGGGTGGCACTGGCACGTGTAGTTGTTGATGGTCTCCACGCAGTCGCCATGGCCGCTGCAGGAGGCCGGGGTGCAGGCAGCTGCGGGCACAGAGGCATGGCAAGGAGCGTGAGCCCGTGGACTTGAGGGTCAGCAGTGAGCACCACAGACGTCACCAGTGACACCAGTGCCCGACGTCCTGGCGGAGGAGCCTTCACAGAGCGCCAGAGCCGGGCTCCGGGCTCGGCGGCTGAGACCCTGATGCCAGCACGCGGGGGGCAGGGGCCGGCCATCCCCGGCACCAAGGCTAGGAAACTCACTGGATCCCAAACCCTAACGACGGCTCCCCCGGCACCAGCAAACAAGGAGCCAACACATGCCCTGTGCGTGTGCACACACACCCTACATGTGTACAGGCCTGTACATGCAGCTGCGGACACAGGCACACATGGGTGTTTGCCTGCATTCGCACAAAGAAGCAAAGAGATACTTTCTCAAGTGGCACGCTTTAACACCAGATTTTTAGAACATAAAATCATCGACCTATCCCGTTTGACTCAATCAAAAGAGTGGGCTCAATCCCCAGTAGGGGGTGTGCAGGAGGAGCCGACCAATGATTCTCTCTCATCACTGATGTTTCTCTCTCTCCCTCTCCCTTCCTCTGAAATCAATATATATATATATATAAATCACATAGAGACCAGTGTTTGCCTAGTGCCAGCAGTTTGTGGTGAAATCTCCCTCCCGCCGTGCCCACCTGTGTGGCACAGGCCTCCCTCTGCCCGCCGTGCCCACCTGTGTGGCACAGGCCTCCCTCTGCCCGCCGTGCCCACCTGTGTGGCACAGGCCTCCCTCTGCCCGCCGTGCCCACCTGTGTGGCACAGGCCTCCCTCTGCCCGCCGTGCCCACCTGTGTGGCACAGGCCTCCCTCTGCCCGCCGTGCCCACCTGTGTGGCACAGGCCGCCCTCTGCCCGCCGTGCCCACCTGTGTGGCACAGGCCTCCCTCTGCCCGCCGTGCCCACCTGTGTGGCACAGGCCTCCCTCTGCCCGCCGTGCCCACCTGTGTGGCACAGGCCTCCCTCTGCCCGCCGTGCCCACCTGTGTGGCACAGGCCTCCCTCTGCCCGCCGTGCCCACCTGTGTAGCACAGGGCGAGCTTGCGCTTGCTGCACCGCTCGTCGTTCCACTGGCCGGGGTTCAGCGGCCGCCGGATGTAGATCTCCACGCAGTCCTCGTTCGCCTGCTTGTTGTTGGGCTCGCCGGGCGCCCAGTTGGCGGCCTCCTCCGTCAGGGGCTTCCCAGTGCCGATCCACACCCACTGGCCTTCCACCTTGCGGATCCCGATCCAGTAGTAACTGGTCGAGTGGTTGAGGACGGAGTTCAGGTGCTGGATCTCCTCCTGGTTCTGGATGGCCACCAGGTGGGTGTAGTGCTGCTGGCAGTAGGCGCTGGCCTCGTCAAAGGTCAAGGTCACCGGGGAGGTGTGGTAGGACCAGGCTGCGCCCGGCCTGACCAAGAGGAGCGCTGAGGGGGAAGGCGAAAGGAAGGAGAGCGGTCAGTCCTGCGGAGGTCTGGCTCTGAGCTGGCCTTCCTCCCCTCCCCGCTGTTCCTCCTCCTGCTGTTCCCGAGGGCAAGTGCAGGTTGCCACCCTCAGTGTGACGGGCACCGTCCAGGGGTATAAATAGCTTCATGTGGGCAGGCCTCACCACCACTCATCTCCAGCTCTTCCATCTGAACACAGAAACCTTACATCGATTGAACTCTGACCCCCTCCCTGCCCCAGGCCTGGCGACCAGCATTCCGCTTTCCGAGCCTCTGGCTTGCCCTGCCCTGGCTCATGCCCGCGGGGCTCTGCGGCTGTTTCCGGGCCTTTTTCCCACTTAGGGAGGCCCACAGTGGGCCTCAGGATGACTCAAACCTTGTTCTCCAGAGTAAGAAGGGGTTCGGACAGAGGAACCTCGGGCTCCTGCATATTCGTCTGTGCCTGACCGCACTTGCTTAGCCTGCTCCCGCCACAGCCCGTGGACCCCTCTGCCGTGGGACAGGAGTCAGAGTGAGCAAGCGCTGCTGGGCACAACCAGCCTGCGGGGAGCTGTGCCTGCCCATGACCCTGACCCTGACGGTGCTGCTGGGACTGAGCTGTGCAGGGCCAACACCTTGCACTTACAGAAACCGAGACACAAAGAGGTAAACTGCCTGGCCCAGGGCACGCCACGCTGTGTGGGGGGCCAGGAGCGCTGCTTGCCCCTCGATGCACAGGGCGCCCACCCACCGGGAAGCATCATGGGTCTGAAAGGGCCCAGGTGCCCGGATGGAGGGTGGGAGAGCCGCTCCGATGGCATTGGCTTACCAAAGGCGAGAGCAGAGAGCAGCCACGAGGCAGTCATGGCTTCAAGAGTTCTTCCCGTCCAACGTGGGACTTGAGGTGCTTTTCCTGGGAGGAAAGGTACAAAGTGAATTACAGGATGAAACCCAGGCGGCCGGTTTCTCAGCTCAGCCTCCAGGGCTGTTTGCCGCAGCCTCCCAAGACCTTCGGTGAAGGGCTCCAGGGCCACGGTCTCTGTGAAAGAGAGGTTTGCCTCAATGAATAAATGAGAGTTTTACATCTGCATGCTTGAGGTCACAGGGAGCAGCCCGCCTTTGACGGCCCGGATGTGGAAAGGTCCCGTCAGGAGGCCGTGGCATATCTGATCATCCAGACCGTCTCAGTGGCACGGCCCAGGGCTGCTCTCTAGAGACTTACGGGTTTGTGGAGAGGCTGTTTCCCTGTCCGAGTCTGGTTCCCGGCGCGTCCCCTCTGAGTCCTGTCCCCTCCGAGTCCCCCTGCTGTGTCCGCTGCTCCTCCGGGGCTGGTGCCAAGCCAGTCGACAGCAGCAGAGCCCGTGCTGCAGGAGCCTTTATACTGCGGCTGGCTTCCTGTGAGTCACGGCCCAACAGTCCAAACCCGCAGGCAGGAATTCCCGGCATATCCAAGAAGTTTCCCGGGAATATCCACGGTGCTAAAGACGACAATGATATCAGGAACCCTGCCCCACACACCAAGTCTCCTTTGTTATACACCTTTCCATGAACTCCATGAATATGACACAAATGCATGGTCTTTCATTTTAATCATGAAAAAATCTCCACCTTTAAAACTTTGCCAGTTAGCCCTGACCGGCATGCTCAATGGTTAGAACGCCGGCTCATGCATTGAAGGGTTGGGGGTCTGATTCCCAGTCAAGGGCATGCACCTGGGTTGCAGGTTTGATCACCCGCCCCAGTCGGGGCTCACAGGAGAGACAACCAATGGATGTGTCTCATGTCAATGTCTCTCCCACTCTTCTCCCTCCCTCCCTTCCCCTCTGTCTGAAAGGCACTGGAAAAAATATTCTCAGGTGAGAATTGAAAAAAAAAAAAAAAGCTTTGCTGCTTAGCAGCATCTCCTCTGTAATTGTGGTAGTAATGCCAGTAATGGGTCACCAACCACATTTTTCCTCTTTCTCACGTATCAAGTCAACCCATCTTAAGGTACACTGTCTCAATGAGTCACAAGCTGTACAATAATCCTCAGGCTCTGTGCATAGGTACAGCCAAACTACTAGATATAATATTTCCAAAATGTGTTGAGTACTCACTATGTGCCAGGCCCCATTCTGAGCATTTTGCACATTCATCTATCAGACTGTCCAATCTTCACGACAGCCAGTGAAATAGATGCTCTTAGTATCCCCATTTTAAAGACGAGAACATTGAGACATCGCAGGTTTTACCCTTCTCAGCCAACAGCACAGAGCGATGGGGGAGGCCTGGACAGTCACCCTCAGGGCCTGATCCCTGGACTGCTGCCTCATGTCCGGGTTCCTTACTGTCAGGCCCTCGATGGGCCTCCTTGTCCTGCCCGGGTCTCCAGTCCTCCTTCTTCTTCCCAGAGCAAAAGGATCACCCCAGCTTTCGGCGGGAGAGCTGATATTCTCGGATTCTGAGACATGGAGGCAGGAAGGAAACCCAGAACAGAGGATGGAGACTGTAGTGAGAATGGATCCCGGCCGCCAACATAAGGGGAGGAAGAGGACAAAGGAGCGAGCATGAGGCTGAGCATCCCCAGGACCCACTGTGGCCCCTTCGCCACACTTTCTAGGAGGTCCTGATTCAAGAGCAAATCCTCCCGGTAGCTAAAGGACAAAATGATTGCTTAAATGTAAACTGAGATAACTCAAGGGAGAGAACCCAATACACAAGGAGGGATAAAAGAAATGAGGGGGTGAGACTTGTGGGTAAAAGTGACCTATTATTCTTATTACTAGAAGTCCAGTGCACAAAAAAGCGTGCAGGAGCCCGCCAACGCTCACCACGCCCGCCACCCCACAAGCCTACTTGCCACTGCTTGCTACGCTTGCATGCTGCCCGCCTTGCTGCCATTGGAGCCTGTGGGCCGCAGGGGAGGGACCAAGAGGTGGTCAATGCACCCCACAGCGACTGGTCAGGCCGTGTCATTCTGGTTGTGACACTCATGGCCTCTTGCCTTCAATTACATAGAATTGTAATAGTGGGAATTACAATCCACCCCACCGTTCTCCTGACACTGTATCTTTAAATACTGACTCAGACTAGTATGCAGCTGATAGGTAAACAGCATGTTTGTCTAAGAATCCCAGGAATTAACTTCAGCAGACACTGACCCTGATCTTCAGTCAACCCTGTTCCGGGAGATTTGCTGACCTTCAAGTGCAGAGTCAGGATGATGAAGGCCAGAAGGATGACATCAGACCATCACCTAACCAGTTTTGAGATCCTTATGGGAATGGATGGTGCTGGAGGGAAGTGTGGTGCCTCCGAGACCAACCCCCTCTCCTTTCTTTCTTTGTTCAGCGTTGAAAACCACTGAGGTGGGCGGATGGGCTTGGACAAGAGTCCCCCATCTCCTCGAGATGCCGGCACTTGAATAAACCTCTTTCCTCTTTCACCGGCACCTGTCTCATGAGTTTGTGTGTGTGGGGGGGGGTGTTTCTGGTTACATTATTATTGTCACCAGAGCTATGAAATTCCAAACCTACCACAGTCACCCTGCATTCTCCCAGAGGGAGCCCCTGAGGGGGCTCTGAGAATAGGTGTCTGGGGTGTAGGGGTCTCTCTTCAGGCTCCAGGGCTGCTGAAGGGTCATAGACAGACCTGGAGGCCTGTCACAGAGAGACCCCAGCAGAGGGAGGGGCAGAAGCGGGTGACAGATGGCAGCCTCTTTACCTGCACTTTTCTATCAGGTGAAGGGCACTCCCCTTTGGGGGCACCCCCTGTTGGAGATCAGCAATGAATTGCAGAGGAAACTGGGTGAGAGCTGAATAGTTAGAGGTGTTGAATCTTATCTCTCACTCCCCAAAAACCTTATTTCCCCCAAGTAACATGCTGGTTAGAGGTGTCCCTGCTGGGCTGCCCCTCTGGCTGCACGTGGGCCCCTTTGCCATCTCCATCGTGGAGGAGAGGAGAGAAGAAGCAGGAGGGGAGCACACGTGGGCATGGCCCAGCCCCACCACCAGGGCCGCTTGGTCTCGGAGGCGCCACACTTCCCGGCTGAGCATCCCTTTCCTGGAAGCTCGGGCTGCTCCTCCTTTAATGGGGCGCCAAGGACGTGGGCCGCGCTGGCTGCTGTGCCAGGCCAGTTCACGCTCACCCCTGTGCTGGAGGGACATCCCTGAGGAGCCAGAGCCAGGGCAAGGGTGTTGGGGTTTCCAAGACACATGCTGCCGTTTTATCCCGGGCATCCTGTGCACCGGATGGGGCCAAAGAAAAGCCACAGGCGGGAAAAGGCAGCACCGGCCGTGGCACAGGCCGAAAGGCAGCCTGTGAAAGGCGAGGGTTTAGCACTGGCTCCTCACTGCAGATGGCAACGGCAAAGCTGGCAGGGGCCGGCTCTCGCCCTCCCAGGCTCCCAGCCCCCTCCCCTCTGGACAGGGCTGCTAGGCGCTCATTTTTAAAAACTTGGCACCTTCCCCCCAAATTGTGCTCTGCTGCCATCTAAAGCACTTCTGTGGAGTCTCCGGTAGGGGAGGCAATCCCAATGAAGGTTCAGTCCTCTGTGCAGAACACAGGTGTAGTCCTCGCACACCCCAAACCCTGAGATACACTTCCTGTCACTCTCACTGTGTGGGCGTGGCTTGTCTGATCAGCCCACAGACATGTTTGATGGGAAATTGATCTGGCTCCTTCTACATCCATTCCCCAGGAAGGCTTGGTCACTCATTTGGGAACTGGAGATAGCTTAGGTCATCGGAGTCAGGTAGGAGCCCTGGGCACTCTTGATCTGCCCACCCTCCCCTCGCCCCACTTCTAGCTGCAGTCAATCCTGACACCCTCTCTCCTGGAAGCTGGACGCCCGTAGCAACTGGGCAGACACAGGGACGATGCAGGGTGAGTGGGGGAGGGGGAGGGAAGGGTCCTCAGATTTTCCTCTTGAAGAAGACTAATGGGCAGCTCAATTATGTATGTGTTTACTGGTTTGTTTGTTTATAAAAATATCTTACTTACTGATTTTACAGAGAGGGAGAGAGAGAGAGAGAGAGAGAGAGAGAGAGAGAGAGAGAGAGAGAGAAACATTGACTTGTTGTTCCACTTGTTTATGCATTCATTGATTTATTCTTGTATGTGCCCTGACCGGGGATGGGACCCAGAGCCTTGGTGTAGCAGCATGACACTCCCACCACCGGAGCTACCTGGCCAGGGCCACGGGCAGCTCGTTTGAAATGCACGTCCTTGGGCCCAGCATCCGGAGCGCCCGACTCAGCGGGCCTGGGTCGGTCCCAGGAATCTGCTCTTTCAGCGAATATCTCAGGTGATTCTGACACGTGTGGGCGGGGCCATCGAGAAGACCTGTGGCGGGGGCTCAGTTCCAGGCACCGCTAAGCTGCAGGCAATCCCGACAACCTCTCTCCAGAACGGCCGGATGACCGGACGCCTGGACGCCCATCGGTAGCAGCTCTGGGCAGACACAGGGACTACGCAGGTGAGTGGGGGTTTCAGACTCCTGGACGTGGGAGGTCCGTGGGGACATAGGTATGCACATGTGAGCTTATTCTCTGCCCTCCGCTTGCCTGGGAGGAGAAATGGAATCCCACTCCCCTTCCTAAGCTTTCTAGCTAGATAATGCCGAGGCGGTTTTAATGTTTCCTTGCTTCCTGCATGACAGAGCCTTATCTCAAGGCTTCCCCTTCAGTGTAGGGCTCTGGGAAGGAACCAGTGGGAATATCTTCCAAAGGAGCCCGCGGTGAATTCCCCAGGCGGCCAAGGGCCTCGGCTGCGGAACTGACCGCTCTTCCTGGTGCTGGCCGCAGCCCCTCGCTGCTGACCGCGGGCAGGGAAATGCCGGGTTCGAGAAAGCCCCCTGCTTGTTTTCCTTGGCCGCTGCGCCCGTGTT